CGACCCAAGAAACCCGCGCGGTCCTCCGAACGTTTATGCTTATGAAATTGTGTTGTTCCTCGAATTTTGCCCCCCCCCCCCCCCCCCCTCTCCAGGGGCTGCGGAGGGCATAGCTGCTCCGCACCCTAGGGGGCCCTCTGCGCTCTCGTGGTCACCTTCTGGTTCACGGCAGATCTCTCAGTTCCCGCCCCCCCCCCCCGCGGCAAGTGCTGTTGGGGGGGATACCTGCGTCCTCGGAGGTTTCTGCTTCACCAGGAGGAGAGAGAACCACCACCACCAGCTGGGGGGCCCTGGCCGCCCCGTGGCACCCCGCTCCGGGCGCGCCCCCGAGAGTGCCTGGGACGGAGCGCCGCCAGCTCGGGGGGCTGGCCTGTGGGGCGGAAGAGAGGGGGGTGATGATTAGGGGGAGTGGATATCATGGCGGGGGCCACGACATCTCCCCAGCTTTCGTGGCGCCTCTTCTTGTTTCATTACGTTCCTGGCCCCGCCGCTGGGCCGCGCACATGCCGCCAGTCATGATTTGCACTCCCCCTCTTGGACACCCCCGTCTTGGCCGCTCCCGATGGCCTGTGGGAACAGAGCTCTGTGGGGTTCTGGTGGAGGGGGCTCTTCTTGCCTTCGCGTCTGGTGCCGCCCGCCCGAGCCGAGGCGCGCTTCCCAGGGGCCTCGGCCGCAGCGCTGGCCGAGGGCTTGGAGGTGTCGCACGGCGTGGACGCCACGGCCATCGCGGCCACCCTGCCCGAGGGCCGCTCGCGCCGCTTCTAGAGGGCCACATGCGAACCCTACCCCTACCCCCCACGATTTCTAGGGGGAGGGTGGGGTTCACTTCGTCGGGGAGCTCCCGAGCGAAGTGAACCCCACCCTCCCCCTCAGAAATCGTGGGGGTAGGGGTAGGGTTCGCATGTGGCCCCCTAGCTTCGACCGCGTCATCTTCCAGTTCCCGCAGCACCCCGAGCGCCGCAAGATCCACAGGCACCGCGAGCTGCTCCGGCGCTTCTTCGCCAGCGTCCTGCCGCACGTCGCCGAGGGCGGCGAGGTGCTCGTCACGCTGTGCGGCGGCCAGGGGGGCACGCCGGCCGAGCGCGAGCCGCGGAAGGCCTCGGACACGTGGCAGGTGCAGGACGCGGCGGCGGAGGCGGGCCTCGTCCTGGCCGCGGTGCACGCCTTCCCCGCGGCCGCCCTGGCCTCGCTGGGCTACAGCTCCACGGGCTACCGCGGCAGCGGGCTCCGCGCGAGCAACTCTGGGCTCCACCAGGACCGGCCGTTCTGCGTCGACGGCGGCCTCACCCACGCGTTCCGCGCGGAGGGCGCCGGCGCGGTCGCGGCCTTCCCGCTGTGCTGGAGCCACGACGTCAGCTTCTGGGCCCGGACCCCGCGGGTCGGGCGCCCCTCCGCTCAGAGGAGGAAGCGGTACCGATTCCGCCACTCTGTCTTCGTTTTTTCACCTTTCTGGGCCTCCTTGGAGGCCCTCGTCGCCACGGCTGGATGCGTCTCGAGATTCTGGTCAGAACGAGCTCCGGGCGAGGTCCCGGGAGGAGCGGTATACCAGTATCGGTATTCCCCACGCGGGAGCGGGATGTTATTCCAGATGTTCTCGGAGGCCGACGGAGGATTTCGAAGGTTCCCAGGGATGATGACCACCACGCCCGCCAGCACGACCACCACGACCACCCCCGCTTTTCGACCATAACCGCAACGACCGGGGGCCCCCCTGGGTGGCGGGAGTGGGGGCCCCGCTCGGGTGGACCCTGGCGTTTTGGAGGAGGACGAGGAGGAGGAGGAGGAGGAGGAGGAGGAGGAGGAGGAGGAGGAGGAGGAGGAGGAGGAGGATGAGGAGGAGGAGGAGGATAATCACCAGCGTAAGTCCAAGAATTGCCAACGATGTTGGGGTGCACCTTCTCTCCGAGCTCCCTCTTCACAGGCCCCCGCAAGGGTTATTTCCACTGAGGGAAGTGCCCCGTGGGGGACAACCATGTGGAAATCCTGAAGCGTGCCAAAACACCATTCGCAGGACTTCAACGCCACGAGTCAACCTGATTGTTGGGTCTTGACGGTCCTGAATCATGGCAAAGCACCATTCCTAGGACTACAACGCCGCGACACACCGCAAGTGTTGCGCCCTAGCAATCGTAAGTCGTTCGGAAACACAATTCCTGGCTCGTAAACCTTGAGAACCAGTGGACCTCTTGCACTCTGTGTAAGTAGTGTGTGCGGCGCTAAGGCGAGAGCCACATTTTGAAAAGGAACCGCCCTCATTCCCTGACACATTTGCAAACTTTGACTATGGCGAGAGCCACATTTTGGAAGCGACCCGCCCTCCATCTGTAAAACTGTTGTCAGTTTTGAAGCTTCAGGCTCGTAAGTGGTAAGGACATTTCAGGTGCAACACCCGGCCCGCCCTTCCGATCGGTTTCTGGGTGCGACAGGGAGGAGTTATTCATGAGGAAAAGGCATGGCGGAGGAGGAGGAGAAGGAGCAGGAGGAGGAGGAGCAGGAGGAGGAGGAGGAAGAGGAGGAGGAGGAAGGAGTCAGGAGGGGAGGGGGGGAAGGAGTAGGGTGTCGGCGGAGCGCCAGCGCAGGACCGGGTTCGAGGAGGCCGACTTGCTGTGCGCCCTTCGCCATGCTGGTGGCGGCGGCCCGCTGGAGGTCACTGCGGAGCTTCTGGACGAGTACCACCGCCCCGAGGACATGTTTGTTGTTTCCTTTACTCTGGAGGCTTACTCCCTTCGCCAGCCCTCAGCCCAAGGGAGGGCACGGTGAAGGAGGCGGGTGATGATGATGATGCTGCTGCTGCTGATGATGATTATGATGATGACAATGATGATGATGCTGATGATGCTGATAATGATAATGATGCTGATAATGATGATGATGGTGATGATGATGATGATGATGATGATGATGATGATGATGATGTCGACGATGCTGATGATGATGGTGGTGGTGATGATGATTATGATGAAGATGCATATTCTGATCAATACGATGATGATGCTGATGATGATGCTGCTGATGATGATGACGATGATGATGATAGTGATGGTGATGGTGGTGATGATGCTGATGCTGCTCATGATGATGGTGGTGAAGATGATGCTGACGACGATGATGATGATGGTGATGCTGATGTTGATGATGATAGTGGTGGTGGTGTCGGTGATGGTGAAGATGAATATCATGAGGAATCCGATGATGATGCTGATGATGATGATGATGATGATGATGATACTGCTGATGATGCTGCTGATAATGATGACTATGATGCTGATGCCGATTATGCTGATGATGATGCTGCTGATGTTGATGAGGATGAGGATGATACTGCGCATGCTGATGATGCTGATGATGATAGTGATGGTGCTGGCGGTGATGATGTTGATGCTGCTCATAATGATGGTGGTGAAGATGATGCTGACGACGATGATGATGATGGTGATGATGATGCTGATGATGATGATAGTGGAGATGGTGTCGGTGATGGTGAAGATGAATATGATGATGAATCCGATGATGATGCTGATGACGAAGATGATGATGATGATGATGATGATGATGATGATGATGATGATGATGATGATGATGATGATGATGATGATGATGATGATACTGCTGATGATGCTGATGATGATGACTATGATGCTGATGCCGATTATGCTGATGATGCTGCTGATGATGATGCTGATGATGATGACTAGGGTGATGATGATGCTGATAATGATGATGATGATGATGACTAGGATGATGATGCTGATGAGGATGATGATGCTGCTGATGATGATGCTGATAATGATGGTGATGGTTGTGATGGTGGTGATGCTACTGATGCTGCTGATGATGATGGTGGTGGTGATGATGATGCTGACGATGCTGATGATGATGGTGATGATGATGATGATGATGCTGATGATGCTTATGATGATGATAGTGGCGGTGGTGGTGGTGTCGGTGATGATGTTGAAGATGAATATGATGATTAATCGGATGATGATGTTGATCATGATGATGCTGCTGATGATGATGCTGATGATGATGATGATGATGATGCTGATGATGATGAATATGGCGATGAGAATGATAATGATGATGATGCTGATGATGCTGATGAAGATGATGATGGTGATGATGATGATGATGATGATGATGGTGATGATGATGATGATGATGATGATGATGATGATGATGATGATGATGATGATGATGATGATGCTGATGACGGTGATGACGAGGAGGAGGAGGTGGAGGAGGAGGGTGGCAGGAGCAGGGGACCGCTCCGAGGGTGGAGCGTTTCTCCTGAGGGTCCTCCTCGAATCGCCCGCGGAGCGCCCGTGGCCGTTTCGGAACCTCTCAGCAGCGGCGATCGCTTCGGAGCGCTTCGGGATGCACGAGAGCGCCCTGAGAGCGCCCTGGGAGCGCCCTGGGAGCACCTTCGAGCGCGTGTGAGACGGGATGGGATCTTCATGCAGACCGCCGATATGAAAGGCGCTCGTTGTCGTCGTCGTCGTCGTCGTCGTCGTCGTCGTCGTCGTCGTCGTCGTCGTCGTCGTGGCCGTCCTCAAGCCCTCGCCCAGCCCATGCCAGGTCGGGGCGTGGTGAAGACGCCACGACTGGTGTTTTCATTCTACCTCATGGGCCCGACTCGACAAACATGGCAGGGAGATAAGGCCGAGAGCTCTGGCCGTGATTTTGTGACCACACCTGTGACTTTTCTCACGACGGCGGAGTTCGGGGTCTCAGGGCCAGCTTGGTAGACTCAGTGCGCACCCATCCGTCCATGGGATTTGTTAGCCGAGGCCCGCTTTCCAGACTAGCTCTAAACGGGATTGGGGCGGGGGGGGGTGCGGGGGGCGCGTTTCGTATACTGACCCTGTCCCCACCAGGCGCACTGAGAACCACCACGGGACAGGTAGGGTAAAATGCCCGCAGCACTGCTGCTAGGGAGTTGTTTTTGTAGCGTCGTGCGTATGCACAGTGATCATGTTTGCGTTGTCGGGAGCCTCTTGGGGCCTCTTGGCGACGTTTTTCCATTCGCGGGGGCACGTATTGTGGCTCGTGGGGGGCATCCTGGGGCCCCTTTAGGGCATAGGGTACCGACCAGCTCCCCACCTTGGGCGCTAGCGATCTCCTAGGGACAGATGCGGTCGTCCTCCTCCTTCTCCTCCTCCTCCTCCTTCGGGATTTCAGGCGGTGGTCTTTCCTCGTGTTTTGATTCCTTGTTCGGAGCGCCCCAGCCACTTCGAGGGACGCTCTCGCCTCGGCGCCTGCCTCGCTCCCGGACCCCTCTGCAGTCCGCTTGTAGAGAGAAAGCCGCTCTCCGATCTGCCGCGACGGCGGCGCCCCTCTCCCCGGCGCCGGCGGGCCGTCCTGCGCCGGACGCAGCAGCGGGGCGCAGGCGCGTCGTCCGCTGTTCTGCCCCGGCATTCTCGTCCTCGTGACGGCTCCTCCTCCTGCTTGTTTCCGCCTCTCCTCCTCGCTCCTCGCCCCCCCTCGCTCCTCGTCCCCCCTCCCCTCCCCTCAGCTCCTCGTCCCCCCTCCCCTCCCCTCCCCTCGGCCCCCCTCAGCTCCCCGTTCCATCCGTCCCTTCCTCGCTCCGCCTCCTCCCCCCTCCCCTCCCCTCGGCACCAGCCCGCCCGTCTCGAGAGCACGGCGCAGCACGACCGTGCGCGCCGTCTCCTGCCCGACGAGCCTCTCCGCCGAGGCGTCGCCCGACCTCCCCCCGCGCGCTTCCTGGCCCCTCCTGGTCACCCGTTGCCGTCCACGTCCGATTCGACGCTCGCCGATCCCTCCCATCCCGCCCCTCTCCCCCAGGACTGAAGTCGAGCTTGTCCCTCTACAGGGGGGAGATTCAGAAATAGTAAAAAAAGTCTGGGAACTCTTTTTTTGTTTGTTTGTTTTTTTGTTTGACCATTTTGGAGTATGTTTGGGGTATTTCTTACTTTTCGTCGAAAATCCCCCTGCAGGGGGACACGCCCGACTTAACCCAAGACCTCGGCCCCCCCCCTTCTCTAGCGCTCGCTTCCCAGCTCCCCGCTCCCGGGCTCGTCGGCCTCCCTCCGCTCGCCTCCCTCGCCCTCCAGGGGGAGGTGGAGGGAGAGGTATGGGGGAGAAGGATGATGATGATGCTGCTGCTGCTGCTGCTGCTGCTGCTGATGATGATGATGATGATGATGATGATGATGATGATGATGATGATGATGATGATGAATAGGATGACGATGCTGCTGCTGATGATGATGATGAGGATGAGGATGATGCTGATGATGATGAGGAGGAGAATGATGCTGATGCTGATGATGAGGATGGTGCTGATGCTGATGATGCTGATGCTGATGATGAGGAGGATGATTAGGAGGAGGAATAATAGAAGGATGAAGAAGAGGATGTTACAAACCCTACCTCCAAGTTTCAGTTTCATGGGTCCCTATGAACATGCATTTTCACTGCGGGCAGCTCGCCGTTGGAAGACAATCGTCCATGATAGGCCGTGCCAACATACCATTCCTGCGTTTTCAACGCCGCGAGTCAACCCAACTGTTGCGCCCTGACGATCCTGCATCGTGCCAGAACACCGTTCCTGGGTCCCCAACACCGCGAATCAGCGTGACTGTTGCGCCCTGACAGTTCTGAGTTGTGCCAACACGCCGTGACTGGGACGTCACCCATGAGAATCTTTGGAAACCCTTGCAAGCTTGTAAGACGAACGTGCGCGGCGCTAGGCGAGAGCCACTGTTTGAAAGCGGGCCGCCCTCCATCCGTGAAACTCTCGCAATGTTTTCAGACGAATGCGTATGTGCGGCGCTAGGGCGAGAGCTACATCTTGAAAACTACCCGCCCTCCATCCGTGAAGCTGTTGCAGCTTTCAAGCTTCACGATCGTAAGTGATTAGGAGGTCTCAGGCGAAACGCCCGGTTCGCTCTACCGACCCGTCTCGGGGTGCGACAGGGATGAGTTACTTATAAGGAACAGGGATGGACGAGGAGGAGGAGGAGGAGGAGGAGGAGGAGGAGGAGGAGGAAGAGGAGGACGGGGAGGAGGAGGAGGATGAGGAGGAAGGACGAGGGGGAGGAGGAGGAGGAGGAGGAGGAGGAGGAGGAGGAGGAGGAGGAGGGAGGAGGAGGAGGAGGAGGGAGGAGGAGGAGGAGCAGGAGCAGGAGAGGAGGAGGAGGAGGAGGAGGAGGAGGAGGAGGAGGAGGAGGAGAGGAGGGGAGGTGGAGGAGAGAGGAGGAGGAGGAGGAGGGCCGCGGGCTCGCCGTCCTCCCACTCTCGCCTCCCAGCAATCCCCTCCCTCCCCCTCCTTCCCTTCCTTCCCTTGTGCATGGGCGCCCCGTCCGGAGCGCCGAGCTTCCCCATCCTCCCTTCCGTCGTCCGCGCTCCCCCTCGCAGGACTTCAGGGCGGCCAGGACGTACCGCCTCTCCGTGTGCGCGCGCGACAGGGCCGTGTCGCAAAAGGCGTGGCGGCACTGGTGCGAGAGCGCGCGGGCGGAGATGGAGCGCCAGGCCGAGGCTCGTCTCGTCGTCGTCGTCGTCTTCGTCGTCGTCGTCTTCGTCGTCGTCTTCCTCGTCGTCCTCGTCCTCGTCCTCGTCCTCGTCCTCGTCCTTGTCCTCGTCCTCTCTCTCGGCCTCGTTCTCATCCTCCTCCTCGTCCTCGTCCTCCTCCTCCTCGCGGTGGAAGGAAAGTGAAAGGGGGAAGACATAGAAGGAATAGGCGGGGGGGCAAGGACGAAGGGTGGGCCGACATTGGGGTCATGGGAGAAAGAAGTTTTAGTAGGAGGGAATGTGGAAAAGTGGACGTGGAAGGGGAAGGGGAGGAGGAGGGAGGAAAGGGGGGAGGAGAGCCACCCTCCCGCCTCCTTCCTCGCTGTCGTTCTCCCCTGCGCTCTCTTCCTTTTATCCCTCCCCCCTCATCTCCCTTTCACCTCCTCACCTCCCCCTCCCTTTCCCTCCTCCCTCCCTCCCCCCACTACCTCCGAACGTCCTGCTTCCTCCCTCCTCTTCGCCGTTCTCCCCTTCGCTCTCTTCCTCCCATCATCCACCCCATCTCCTCCTTAACAATTACACAATCTGATCACTACTCTCCTCTCTCCCCTGATGACGTCCGGAAGATATCCCGCCCCCCTCTGCGTATTCTTTTTTCTACACAGGATTCCCGGGAAATGGGTTTTCGCATGGGTTTGTTGTTTAAAATGTTGCTCCTGCTGAAGCGCTAGCCTCATTTTCGGGCTTCCGCTCGTTCTAAATCGTGTTCCCGCTGCAGCACTGGCCTCATTTCCGCGCTTCCGCTCGGTCCGAATCGTGCTCCCGCTGCAGTGTTAGCCTCATTTCCGCGCTTTTGCTCGTTCCGAATCGTGCTCCCGCTGCAGCGTTGGCGTCACTAGTTCCAGTGCCATGCCGCGGCATGGTTTCCGGTCCTTCCAAATAGGCACCCAACTCATAATTACCTTGTGACGTACCCAACCCATTTGTACCATGGGAAACGAGGAGTTGGCCGAAACTTGCACGGACAATCCAATTGCAGGATCCGTTGTTTGATATGTAAACTACTTGGGACACGCGCCTATGGCATGATGCGCAGGAGAACCATACAAGAACGAGGGGCGACAACTACAGGCTCGAAGAGGACATGGGGAGTCGGGAATGAAGAGCAGGAGAAAGACGTGCGGGAAGCCCACTGTGCTGTGCCCTTCAGCAACCCTCGAAAGTGGCGACAGTTCCACAGATCGCAGCCCCCCAGGGACGGCGAGGTCTAATTTGAGTCTGCCGTGAGTACCCACTGTGCTGTGCCCCTCAGCAGCCTTGAAAGTGGCGACAGTTTCACAGATCGCAGCCCCCCAGGGATGGCAAGGTTTAATCTGAGTCTGCGGTGAGTACCCACTGTGCTGTGCCCCTCAGCAGCCCTCGAAAGTGGCGACCGTTTCGCAGATCGCAGCCCCCCAGGGACGGCGAGGTCTAATCTGAGTCTGCGGTGAGTACCCATTGTGCTGTGCCCCTCAGCAGCCCTCGAAAGTGGCGACAGTTTCACAGATCGCACCCCCCCAGGGATGGCAAGGTCTAATTTGAGTCTGCGGTGAGTACCCACTGTGCTGGGCCCCTCAGCAGCCCTCGAAAGTGGCGACAGTTTCACAGATCGCAGCCCCCCAGGGATGGCGAGGTCTAATCTAATTCTGCGGTGAGTACCCACTGTGCTGGGCCCCTCAGCAGCCCTCGAAAGTGGCGACAGTTTCACTCATCGCAGCCCCCCAGGGATGGCGAGGTCTAATCTAAGTCTGCGGTGAGTACCCACTGTGCTGTGCCCTTCAGCAGCCCTCGAAAGTGGCGACAGTTTCGCAGATCGCAGCCCCCCAGGGACGGCGAGGTCGCGCTCATGTCCGCGCGGTGCTTCACTTCGCAGGACCCACCAGCAGCCTTCGAAAGTGGCGACAGTCTCGCAGATCGCACCCCTCCCAGGGACGGCGAGGTCCCGCTCAGGTCCGCGCGGTGCTTCAGTCTGCAGGATCCACTAGCAGCCCTCGAAAGTGGCGACAGTTTCGCAGATCGCAGCCCCCCAGGGGCGGCGAGGTCCCGCTCAGGACCGCGCGGTGCCTCACCCGCAGGACCCACCAGCAGCCCTCGAAAGTGGCGACAGTTTCGCAGATCGCAGCCCCCCAGGGACGGCGAGGTCTCGTTTGGATCCGCGCGGCGCCTCACTCCGCAGGACCAACCAGCAGCCCTCGAAAGTGGCGACGCTTTCGCAGATCGCAGCCCCCCAGGGACGGCGAGGTCCCGTTTGGGTCCGCGGTGGGTGCCCTCTCTGCTGGCCTCCCCAGCAACCCTCGAAAGTGGCGACAGTTTCGCAGATCGCAGCCCCCCCAGGGACGGCGAGGTCCCGTTTGGGTCCGCGGTGGGTACCCTCTCTGCTGGCCTCCCCAGCAGCCCTCGAACGAGGCGACGGTTTCGCAGATCGCAGCCCCCCAGGGACGGCGAGGTACCGTTTGGGTCCGCGGTGGGTACCCTCTCTGCAGGCCTCCCTGGCGGCCCTCGAAAGTGGCGACAGTTTCGCAGATCGCAGCCCCCCCATGGACGGCGAGGTCCCGTTTGGGTCGCGGTGGTACCCTCTCTGACTGGCCTCCCAAGCAAGGGGCCCTCGAAAGTGCGACGGTTTTCGGGGGAACGGATCGCAGCCCTTCAGGGACGGCGAGGTCCCGTTTGGGGTCGCGCGGGCGGGTGCACTCTCTTGCTGGCCCCACCCAGCATTCCCTCGAAAGTGGCGACAGTTTCGCAGATCGCAGGGGGGGCCCCCCAGGGAACGGCGGGAGGCGTTTTGGGGTCTGCTGGCCTCCCCAGCAGCCCTCGAAAGTGGCGACAGTTTCACAGAACGCAGCCTCCCAGGGACGGCGATGTCCCGTTTGGGTCCGCGGTGGGTACCCTCTCTGCTGGCCGCCCCAGCAGCCCTCGAAAGTGGCGACAGTTTCGCAGATCGCAGCCCCCCAAGGACGGCAAGGTCCCGTTTGGGTCCGCGGTGGGTACCCTCTCTGCTGGCCTCCCCAGCAGCCCTCGAAAGTGGCGACGGTTTCGCAGATCGCAGCCCCCCAGGGGCCGGGCGGGCGAGGTCCCGTTTGTGGATCTCGCGATGGGTCCCCTCTGCTGGCCGTCCCCAGCCCAGCCACTCGAAAGTGGCGACAGTTGCGCATATCGCAGCCCCCCAGGGCGGCGAGGTCCCGTTGTGGGTCCGCGGTGAAATGCAATCTCCTCTCTGCTCTGCTGCCTCCCCAAGCAAGCCTTCGAAGTTGCGACAGTTTCCGGACAGATGAATCGCAGCCCCCAGGGACGGCGGTCCTCGTATTGGATCCGCGTGAGTGCCCTCTCTGCTGGCCTCCCCAGCAGCCTTCGAAAGTGGCGACAGTTTCGCAGATCGCAGCCCCCCAGGGGCGGCGAGGTCCCGTTTGGGTCCGCGGTGAATGCACTCTCTGCTGGCCTCCCCAGCAGCCCTCGAAAGTGGCGACAGTTTCGCAGATCGCAGCCCCCCAGGGACGGCGAGGTCCCGTTTGGATCCGCGGTGAGTGCCCTCTCTGCTGGCCTCCCCAGCCGCCCTCGAAAGTGGCGACAGTTTCGCAGATCGCAGCCCCCCCAGGGATGGCGAGGTCAAAGGCAGGGGGGAAGAGAGGGACGGGAGGGGTGGGAAGGAAGGTTCGCGCGAGCAATTCTCTATTCAAAACGAGAACCCAACGCAGGAGGGTTGGGAAAAACGGCAACCCGACAAAAACCATCGGAAGTGATTCCACATTCGGTGTCGATTCGTTGACTTCATGGGGCCGCAGGGCCCCCCACTTTGGGGCGTCGACACGCCGTGCCATGTCATGCTACGCGTTGATCTTCAACGCCATGCTATGCTATGTAATGCGATGCCATGCTGCGACATCCGACTGTGCGAATAGACAGGGGATCTACGCCATGGTAAGGGATGGGAGGGAGGGGTAGGACGTCAGATATGACGCGAGCGCGCTTAGCTTGCCCCCTCCCCCTCCCCCTTCCCCATTCCTCCTCCCTTTCCCCATCCTCCCCTTCTCCTCCTCCTCCTCCTCCTCCTCCTCCTCCTCCTCTTCCTCCTCCTATTCCTCCTCCTCCTCCTCCTCCTCCTCCTCCTTTTCTCCTCCTCCTCCTGCCCGTAGGGGCCAGGGGGAGAACATTTCGCCTCGTCGCCACGCTTCCCGCCTCTTGTGGCGGCCCACCAGGTACCCCGCCTGGCCTCGGGCGGATGGGGGGTCCTCTGCGGGGGGCTCACTGGAGGATCCGCACGCGCCCTTCCCGCGGTGATTGTCTTCCTCGGGAAGGGCGTTCTTCGTCTCTTTGTGCTGGACGTCGTCCGCGCTGTCGTCGGGATCTTGCATCAAGTCCGCGGTCTTCTTCACCTCTCCACCCACTGGGAAACCTTTTGTCAGGAGTGGTGCCCCTCGGGTGGCCTGGGGCGGCGCGACCTGGGTGGCGTGCCGTCATCTGGGTGGGCGCGGCCCGAGCCAGCGGCCGCCGGGCGGCACGTGGCTCGCTCCCGTGCGCTTCCTGCCCGCGGCGCCCAGGAGCTGTGCAGGAACTGGGCCCCCCGAGCGGTCGCTCTGCTCTCTCCTGGCCATCCCGTGTGGGGTTCTCGTCTCGAGGAGGGTGCTGCGGTCTCCACTCCTCCTTCCTCCCCCCCCCTCTCTCCTGCCCGCTGCCTCCTCCGACTTCCCGCGTCCAGCTTCCTCTTCCTTCTCGTCCTCCTCCCCTCTCTCCTTCGTCCTGCCTGCGCCGCCTGGCCACTGTGCGCGGCTCTCCCGGTTGCCACTCTCGTGGGCTCCTGGAAGGTCCAGCGGAGTTGGCAGTCACGCGCGCCACGTCGAGACCTCGCGGCTCCCTGCGTGGCTGCGAAGTGCGCAGCTGTCGCCACTTTCGTGGGCTCCTAGGAGGTCGCGCGGGGTGGGGTGTTGCGCAGATCCAGTTGGGACCTCGCGGCTCCCTGGGGGGCTGCGAAGTGCGCAGCTGTCGCCACTTTC